GCATTGTTTTAAAACTACAAACAAAACAACTGTAAGTGTGATTTGCTGCCGAACTTTGCGTTCACTGAAATACTGGGGTTTGAAGTACCGCTACACCAGTGTGTAATTCGTTCTATCCTGGAAGGAAATAATCCATAACCTTGGGTACTAGGAGGAGATTAAATTCCTTAAGGAAACACTGTGAATTCAGTGGGTTCGAATTAATTTTTGTTTCAGTTATATCATTTATATTTACGTATGTTACTGCTGTAGGTAGCTGATAAAGAGGATAACATATATCTAAGAGTGGAAAAGTTAAAACTTGCTCTTCCATTATTCCATATTTATACCAGATAAGAAGTACTATACAGGAAACAACAACAATCTTCTTCTAGCTCTCTTCAGATTTTCGAATGTATAGCTGAAATCCATGGCTGTTGTTGCAATGTTTTTGCCTAACTGTCTCTTCAATATTCTTAGGCATTCACTTTATAAATTTTAATTTGCATGATCGTTATTTTTCTTTAAACTTTCAAAGACTACTCTTTCAGTTCTTTTCGTCTTCACAGTTCAGTGTTACATTTAATTTCGATTATGCTTTTCTTTCAATTTTTGCCTAAACTTTTTCAAGTTTTCTTCGCCCTTTCCAGTTTCATGGCTGAAATTAGTGACTAATGTTGTCCTTTTCTTCTGATCCTCTTAAATTTTCCACATCTGCTCTGCTTAGGGAAGTTATTATGAGTTCCCAAGTTGGTAATTTGTTAAATCTCTCATCAACTAGAAAGTCTTATTTTGACATATTTCAAATACTAGATATTTTCGTTTCTATATATCTTACTGCGTCAAGAGAAACCAAAATGAATTTTTCGATTTTTTAGCATATTTCTTCTTCCTACTTGAAATGATGGTATGGCTCCTCATTTTTCAGTTTTTGTTTCTTATTCAGATGTATTCTATGTTTTGGATATTTATGCTTCTGCAACTGTGAAAGAATTCCCTAGCAAAAGTTTAGATTTGTATCTTAATTTTGGCTACAAAAATTAAATATGTAATTCAAGCCTCAATCCTTAGAAAAATATTCAGGGAATAGAAAAGTTGCAGAGATATCGAATATGAATCATAACAATGATGAGCACTTTGGAAAAATATATGCTGACAAATTAAGAGGACTAAGAGATGTGCATTACATAAACTAAATTTTCTACACGTTAAAATTCTTGAAATACCACTTTATTGTTTTTAAGATACGCCATCATCGGTTTCTTTCAAAGACTGTCTTCCTAATCTTGTGCAAGAGATCAGGGATTAGCATACACTCTTTCTTAGTTGCTCATCTAATTTAGGAGAGCTATTCCAATGAAAGAGGGTTCTTAAATTCCTAAAATTCTATTTGCTAGGTCATAAGTTGATTATTGTTTCTTTTGAGCTTCTAGATCGTATATGCAAAGTGATTGATTATTTTAATAAAAAGTCCTTTTTGATGGAACTGAATCTTGGACCCCACACAACCGGAAGACTTGGAGCAGCTAAGAGGGCTTTTTTTAACTTTATTTTGTTGAGAAAGATGGTCATCTAATTAAAATTTATTTCCTTTTCTTTTAAGTGTTGGGACAAGCTAATGAGACAAGTATTTTGACATAGCAATTTATTATACTAATAGATGCTGAATCTTTCACTAGGTTCAGTCAAAGAAATATTTAAATAGTATATTCTAGAGGTATTGATTTTATCTCCTCTAACCAAAACCATTGATTGTATGGACAATGCATCTCAGACGGTCCATTAAAATGCAAGTTGGTTCTGTCTCTCATTGCATCTATGCCTGCTAAATTACACTTTTGTGTTTGATTGTTTTATTTTTTATTTGATAATATCTAATTTTCTTAAAACATTCTTCTATTTGTTGTTTGTTATGCATCCTTATAGCCGTATATGCATTATCTCTACAGAAAGATTGAAATTAAAATATTATTTTTCCATTGAGGTGATATCTTGGGATGTTAATTGAATATTACAGTAGAAAGGAAGAAGGTTAATCAGTCTTGTAAACATGCATTATAGTTTGCTAAATGATTAATCCATATTATATAAACAGATTAAGTTCTTGAATTTTTAAGTTTTAAAGTAAGATATATAAAGTTTTCAGAAAAATGGTGCATCCAGCACATGAAGTGATTTGCAAGTTGTCTTCAAGAAATTTTTTATTAAATTTATATTTTGGGTTCTGAAATGCTATTCCTTTTGGGTATCGGTTACTTTCAGTTAAAGCTATAATTGACTTGGAGAAACAAGCTGCTAATGACACACTAGGTGAAAGAAAGATTTGTATAACCTGACTGTTTGTTGATTCTGAGAAGCAACTAAATCTTTTTACTTAGCTCCATACTTCTTCATTTGTCAAACTTCATAAGAGGATTTTGATCAAGTGTTGAGTCAAAAGGTGTATTGCACTTCTCTAAGCTATAATTATAGAAAACTTGTGCATAAATTTTTCCTGTAATTAGATAGTTATGATCTAGTGTTGAAACCTTAGTTGCGAATATATTTCTTAGTTTCATTTATTGCAATTCAATTTGAGCCAAATGAAAATGTTCTAACCATAAAATATTATGGCAAGGACAGTAAAGACAAAGTTGTAAATGGTAGTGATCCATGTGTGTTGAAAAATTGTGGTAAAGTTTATAATTGGGCCTTTTAAATGCTGATGTTGCTATATGACTGCTAGGTAGCTCTATGCCATACAGTTAGAAGCTGAATATTCTGATTTAATGTAGTATGCAAGACCACTAGGAAGTGATAGTAGGTAGACAATTGATCACATAAAATCACATTCATTGAGTTAAGAGGTGTGTGTAAGAAATTTATGCTCTATTCATTTATTCTTTTGATGAGAATCAGTTTCTGTTCATGTCCTCTATCTAAAGTTACCAAGATCCACCACTGATACTTTGAATGGCCACGCTCAATGCAGTTAAATTTTGGCTGCTCAGTGATTGTTATTTGAATCTGCAGGTAATATCATGTAAATTCATTTTCTTCGTTTTGATTTCAAATTCAATTTTAGGGTTGTTTGACATAAATTTTATATATTTGATTGATATCTTTATTTTTGAAGATTTGTATGTGACTTTGGTAATATTTGATTTTTGAAATAAGTAGAGTCACTTAAGAACAAGTATCTGATTTCAAGTTGCCTCATATAACACTAAGCCGATGAATCTATCTCTCTTGCGAAAAGTCATTATGAGAATACTACGAGAGGTAGCTAGATTTTGTGAAGGTCCTTTGCTAGATTGTGCCAGCAATGTAGAATATATGGATGAATATCTAGGTTATCCAGAAGGATAAGTAGTGCAAGTCCCTCGAGCCATATGCACATTCCAGCGCTGCTTGGAGGCATTTAGAATTTATATTAGTAAGCTACTAAATAAAAATTTCTTATCATCTCATCCAATGATGATAGAAACTTTCTAGATTTCAATGATAATAAAATAAATTGTATGGCTTTGCAGAGTATGGTAGCAATAGTAGAAATGACAGGAGATCGAGTAGAGGTTAACGTTAATGAAAATCGACAAGAAAAAGCAATCTGGTTCTATATACTTGTGGAGTGATGGGTTCCATTAGCGCCTCATGTCATGTCTTTTAAGCATTGTAGTTTTTTTGCTTTTGAAGTAGGAATACGTTATGTCTTTTTATGGAATTTAGCTTTTTTTATTTTAAACTTGTAATTTCAAACAGAGTAAACTGTCATGCCAAAGAATTTTTTATGTACTGTATAGTGTATACAACCAAATATTATATATTGTGTATTTGTATGGATGTTTTATATTCAGCTATTCAGTTCCCCTATTGCAACTATTATAATTAATTTTCTGCTATAATCAATTTTATGCTTGTGTGAAATCGAAATATACTACCACCGCAGAAGTGTTGGGCCCCACGGGCAATTATAACAGAAGAAAAAGTGTGGGAAGGGAAGAAGAAAAAGGTTTTGAAGACCTACTTTGACTTGGCATTTCTTCAATATTAAATAAGTATTCGCTAACGCAATTTTTCAAGTGTTTTGACTATTGAATGATTGTGGGCGGAAATGTGTTACACCTAAACACGTTAATAGTTTAGTTTAAATTTCCAAAATCCGAATTCTAGACTCAAGATCATGGCTTCCGTCGATTTAGGGAATCCATCTAACAAACAAACAGTGACTGTCACCGGAGTTGAAGAAACCCTAGACCGAATCAGTCAATTGCCGGAATCACTCATGATTCAAATTCTCTCTCTTTTGCCAACCAAGGAGGCATTCAGAAGCTGTATTCTATCAAAAAGGTGGCAGTATCTCTGTACTTCAGTTTATAATCTAAATTTCACTGACGCTGATAATATGCCACAAGAAGCCTTTATATCCTATGTAGACTCTGCCTTAGCTCGTTGCACTTCTTCCAAAATCAAAATATTCCAGCTCACTTTCGGTTGGCAGCATGTTTACTGGTCGCAATACAGCCAATGGCTGGCATTTGCTGTCGAAAAAGAAACGGAACATGTTGAATTGAAGTCATTTGGTGATGATTATGACATTTTCACATTGCCTCAATTCATCTACACTTGTTCGTCGTTGATAACATTGAAATTGATCCGCTGTGCACTTGATAAAGAAGTAATTATAGCGTGGAAGTCGCTAAAGAGCTTAGTGTTGATCGATATGGTGTTAGATGGTGACGATATTGTGAACCTACTCTCAGGTTCTCCTGCTTTGGAAACTTTGGAATTTAATGTATGCATGGGTTTCCGTCGTCTCGAAATTAGTTCGTCAAATTTGAAGAGACTAAATATTAAAAGCTGGAGGTTGTTGGATGTCGAAGATGATCATTCCTTGGAAATTTTTGCGCCATATCTTCAGCATTTGGAGATCTCTGGAAGTATTTCTGATCTCAAGTGCAGGCTACTAAATGTATCCTCTCTGGTCAATGCTAAACTTACTTTCAACAATGATTGCGAAAAAGATATTCAGGATTGGAATGGATATCATGTCGATGATGCAGTGGACAGTTGTCGTGATTATCATCAATCATTTATCATCGTCGTGCAAGATTATCTTCAAAAGTTAAGTAATGTGACCAACCTCACAATTGGAACATGGTTAACAGAGGTTTGTTTATTAGTCAAAATACTTTATTTACTCTATTTGAATTTAACAAAAAGTTGCAAAGGGGGAAAGGTTTTAAGAGTCAGATGCAATTGGGCACTTTTATGCAGATTGTACAATGCACTGGTAAATAGAGACCACTCTGAACAAGAAGACATTAATAAATTCCAGTTGCAGAATATATCTTTATAAGTCATCAAATTTATAAAGATATTTTGCCAGATCTGATCCCCTAAAATATTCGATTTTAATTTATCAGAGTATCACAACAGGGTTAAGACCATCATCCGTAAGTTAACCGACAAAGTCTGCTTAGCTGCTTACAATCTCATGTTGCAGGTCCTGTGCATGCTGCAGCTCGAAGAGGTGCCAATTCCAGAACTAAAATGCAAATATCTAACACTAAAGTTACATTTAAAAAAGCTTAATTTGTGTGGGGTAGCTAGCCTTTTGCGAGCCTCGCCTCATGTGGAGACACTCAACATAGACGTGGCAACGATGAGTGTAACTTCCTGGAACTTTTTCTCCTCTGTTTACATATTCATTTTATGATGGTTTAACACCTCCCTCTCCTGTGAAGTTGTTTCTGAAGTAGAATGCAAATATATCCTTGATTGTCAGAAGCTTTGCTAATGTCACTGTAAAGCTTCATGTTAATATGGTGTTGCTACCTTTGGCTAGTGGCAGAGTCAGAATTTTCACTAAGGGGTGTCAAAATATAAAAATTTAAATGTACGACAAAGTCAGGGGATTCATAATATAATATTCATACATTTAAAAAAAAAAGGTACCTAGCTACAAAATGCAATTTTCTGGCGAATTGACATCCCTTGGTATAAGGTGGCTCCCCCACTGCCTTTTGCAAATGAGCTCTGAAACGAAAAGGTTTTTGCACTATCACTCATTTCTTGGGTTACTTATGCCATAAATCTTTATGATATGGACACCCATCCTAGTCTGTTTTCAAGTACCATTAAGATTTGTTGGTTCTGAAATAATTCTCTACCACACACTTCTGCTATGAAATCACTTTCACTTTAGTGCAATTTCCATTTGGCTACCTGCATTTGGTCCTGATTATATTCTCTGTCTCCAGCTTCATGATTCCTTCTGTCACTTTAAGTTAAGATATTTGGCCAAAGGAGATAATGTTGATTTGCGGATATGGACTTCAAGCTTTGTGTTTCCCAGCCTCAAGAATGTTAAGATTGTCAACTCCTTGGGGGTGTGCTTGAAGGATCATTTCAAACCGGGCTGTGACAAGCTTTTCGAACTTTCAAAAATTCTGTTAAAGAACGCGACTGTTTTGGAGAAGTTCTTTATCGTATCAAAGAAAAGAAAGTGCAGGAGATGTTCAACGGACTGTGTGTCCCAATATTTTCTTCAATTGGCTGAGAAATTGTTAGGTTGTCCAAGATCCTCCACCAATTCTGTGATTCTCTTCCAAGAGTGAGCTTTTCATGATCTGACTGCCAGTAGTTTCCTGTGGCAGTATATACAAGAAATGTTGACTTATATTGAGTTCTTGGTAAGCTGCTCATGCTATCATGAATTTTAACTTCTCTATAAGCTTGTAACTAATTACTTTTTATTATTGGCCTTACCCATGTGGCATACCAAATGTTATTGTATCTTGGTTTATCATGATTCATGAAGTATTTCTTTGTTGCATTTTAGGTGGTGCACATGCGCCTTGAAATTTTCTGGCGACTCTTAGCAAGTCACATTTTTTTATGATAGTTAGCGGCATGAAATGTTGTGTTTTACTACCTTGCTTTGTCAATAGCATCAAGGTCTATGATTGTGTTCGTGTTTCTTGTTGACTTATATTGGTTTGCATTGTTTATTTACCTTAAATAGCCTCGAGCAGTTGTAATTGAGGCTTACAGTGCTGTTGAATCTTTTTGCTTGAAGTTAAGGTTGTATGATTAGATCTATCTGTTTGATTCACCTGAAATCTACATTCTTGGGGCATATTTTTGTTGGATGGGACAGCTTACACGGGGTTGTGAAGAACTTTTTGGAACAACAATTCTCTTGATAAATGTCTTGAGAAATAGTTTAGTTTCTGTTTTCCCTTTGTTTAATAGAACTACCTTTCTGGGTTTGGTTGAACAGCATATAAACAACCAATTTAGTGAACTTTGCAGAAGTGTCAGGCGCTAATGGAATCGAAGTATATTTCTTAATCTTTGATGTACGACTTCATAGTTTTTTTAATCTTTGATGTACGACTTGAAAGTTCTGCATTACCTTCAATAATATTGTAGCTTCATTCATTATTCTCTTCTATCCCAGTGAAATGACTAAAAATTCCCGTGTTCGCCCTCAATCTTGACTTGTGTTCGACCTATTTTAATGACACAAAATATTATGACCAGTCAAATTGTGTGATCCTAATGGTAATTTTCTGTGTCTTGCAAAATAAAATTGAGTTATTTAACAAGCTTGATTGGGTATTGGTTTAGAGTCAATGGAATCAGTATAATAGGTTAAATACCGTTAATTCCGTAAAAATTGCACGGGGCACCCTATTTGGTCGCCCGGCGCCCCCATTTAACCTATACCCATTTTTTTAAATTTTTTTAATTTGTACCCACTTTTTAAATAACTTCAGCCTCCTTTCTCCTACTCCTTCTCCTCATTCGTTTTCTTCTTCAAGTTACAAAACAAACTAGTATTTATCTCCAAAAGCAACGCTGCTTTAGTTATAAAGTCAATTTTTTTTAATTGAACAGTTCGGCAGTTGTATTTCTGCTCCAAATTTACAGCAAATTAGTCTTAGGAAAAAGTTTAAGTTACCAATAGGATGAGCTGTAAAATTTTGGAGTTTTTGTATGTTTATTCGTGTTTGAGCTGAGAAGATGTACACTATTTTTCTTAAAAAATCACTGCTAATTGTGGTGCTTCAGCTCTAGAGCTGAACTTCGCCAGTTATAAACAAAAATCAGCTCTAGAGCTGAAGTTCGCCAGTTACAAAACCAAAACTTCGCCAGTTACAAAAACAAAAACTTCAGCTCTAGAGCTGAACTTCGCCAGTTACAAAAACAAAAATTTCAGCTCTAGAGCTGAAGTTCGCTAGTTAAAAAACAAAAAACTTTAGCTCTAGAGCTGAACTTCAGGCCCGACTACTAGAATGCTAAAGTTTTGCGTGATTGCCTTTGCTACTTCAACCCCGTATGCTGAAGTTATGCGAAAAAGCGGGTACGTTTGCAATTTTTTTTGCAAAGCAGGCACAAGTTAAAACTTGACACAAAAAGTGGGTATAGATGCAAATGCCCCGTGTGACGTAATCTCTAAGCCAATGCAGATAAATCATTTAATTTAAGTGGTTAAAAATAGTCAGAAGTCCATAAAACCTTTATGGAGCATTTCTAGATCCCTCATTGAAACTTATATAAACAAAATGGTTTATTAATCCAGCAAACTTGGAGGTAAAAACCTCAATGGCCACCTACATAATTCGAGCAGCATTATACGAGACATTGAGCAGCTAGAGCTAGTTTTCGATTTGGTTACTTGTTCAATGCTGTAATTTTAAATGTGACTTTTGGCCACCCTAGTAAGCTTCCAAAATTGAAGGACTAGTGTTGTTGATAAATAAGATGAAGAGTTGGAGACGAATGGAAGGATAAAAATGTCAATTATACTATATATAGAATCAAATAAGCCTATTTTCGCAATAATATAAACAAAAAGGGGTCGGCCCTGCCCCTGAACTATCAGGTTTGGTCTAAAATTGCCCTACATTTACCTATTGGGCTAAATATAACCTTCCGGTTAAGATTTTGGCTCACAACTGTCCTAATAGTTAACATCCCATATCAGATTAAAAATTAATATTATTTTGGGAAACTTACACAAATATCCCGAATAAGTCTCAACTTACCAACCTCTAGCCACTAGTCATATACTTACCAAAACTAGCCAAGTACATATAAAAATTGAAAAACCAAATAAATAAGATTCTCTCTCTCAAAGAATCACATGCAAAAATCATCTTCCATATCACGCATGTATCTCACACACAAGTATATATAGATAACATGTGATACACAATTGATACATATGTGATACACAAATGATACACAATGTGATACACATACCATTTTTTTCATGTTCATTTTTTACTTCGAATTTTATTCAAACCACCTCAAACTTCACCAAATCATCCAAAAACTGAGATTCAAGCTCCTTAAGATGTATCCAATCTATTCTAATAACACCCGCTCAAACAAAATAAAAATTTGATATTTTTTTGCTACAAATAGCTAATTGACTAATATTAGTAATATTTTTTGAATTGACCAATTTTTGTAATCAGCTCCTTATAAATGGACAAAGCTGGTAGTTTTCCTATTATTTTTTAATGATGTGGCATTATCCTAATGGTTGATTTAAAACCCACCTCAAATATGTCTAACCCACACATTCTACCCATTAAACTCTCTAACTCATCGATGATTTCTACATCCTATAGTACATAAAATACACCCTATATTTCCCGAAAAGTCAGTTTCACACTCAACTTTTACGAGCGTTCTAGTACTGCTCTATTATTATTTATGGTGAAATTAATACCTCCTTCAAAGATGAGGTGGCAAAAAAAGTGAGTTCACCTCACTCAAAGCGAGTGGGAAGATGAAAAAAAATATTAAAAGCTGCTTAAATTATACATGTCATTTCTTCGTTGGTTATTACATTTGGTTACACTTAATTAGTTGTATTTATTGTTGTACTAATCCTTTTAATTTTTTTTTCCTTTCTCTTCTTTATTTTCCCTGTTGTCTTCTCTTCTCTTTCTCTCTTTTCTTTCTTATTACATACGAGTAATGAGATGAAAATACTTGTTAATGTTGTTCGCAATCTATGTGTGTTAGATATTTCAAATATTCATATGTAACTATACTACAGCTTCAGAGTTCAAAGACTTCTTCAGGATCTCAATGATTCACTTTTGTAGGTCATTTTCCAAGCTAAAATACTTCTACACTGAATCAACAAAAGAGGATACATGAAAAATATCTTGCCAGGTACTTGATTATAAACTCATATAATCTATATAATTGTTAAAGAGCTCTTAAATGGTTAAATGGGAACTATCTTCTTCTTTCTTCCTTTTTCCCGATATAATTATGCCGAAAGCCAATATACGAAATTTAAATTTACAAAAGAATAACCAAAAACTTGAAGAACAGATAC